CGCGGTCAGGCGTCCCCACGGGCTGGGGTCCCCATCCCGCTGCCTGTGGGCAGCCCCAGGGCTCGAAGAGGTGGTACCAACCCGCAGCCCCAGCAGCTCCCAGTACCGGGCTCGGGCTGGGGGCTTCCCGGTGCGGCTGAGTTTGTCCCATCCGTGAAATTGCCACCAAGGGGCTTTCGGGGCATCCGGGGTGGGGATGGCGAGCAAAGGTGGCTGCGGTGCTGCAGCAAGCACCCTTCAGACCATCTGGCACCCTTCAGACCATGTGGCACCCTTCAGACCATTTGGCGGGTGGGTGCTCTGCCACTCACTGGGTGCAAGATGCAGCCAGGCACCCCTCGGCATCCCTGCAGCAGCTCAGGGCCACCAGCACATGGGAGATCTTAGCGAGGAGCCACCCCATCCCATCGCCTGCTCCATGCAGGAAAAGGGGGTGCCAGGATAACAGGATGGGGGGACAGATGCAGCAGCAGACTCACCTGGAAGAGGCTGCACCCCAAGGGGATGAGGGGGCCATCCCCTACACAGGGGGACACAGCAGCTCTGCGCCGCTCTCAGGGCACAGGCCCCCACCGTTGGCTAACAGCCTCTAATGCATTTTTGATTTCCCAAATATGTGCCCTTCTGATCTCAGTAAGACGGATAAAGAGACTTTAATCAGCTGCTGGGAGGAATTATGGATGGCTAATTGTGCCTGCCACCTCCATTACATCTCTGCAGCCTACAAGGCTTATAACCATTTAAAAAGACCCTTCCAGGCCTTCATTAGCTGCACACCAAAGGCTTCGGGAATAATTGGCCTCTACGATTTAGAAATTGGCCACTGGGCTGTAAAATACCAGCCACTGGGAAAGGCTCTTAATTCGGACTGGCGCTTTGATGCAGCTTGACTCTGGTTTCAAGGCTGTGGCGGTGCTGTAATCTCTCATTAGCGCTGCAGCGAGAGGAACGAGCCTCCTCATTAGCACTGATGGGAGCAGCGGCACCAAAGCTTTCAGGCTCCCTCTGACAGCAGCGCCCCACATCGAAGGCACACAGCCCACCTCCCACACCAGCACAGCAGCCCTGGGTGGTTTCTCTGGGGGGAACTCTGGGTTCCTTCACTCATATTGTCCCCCCTTTTCTCCAATTTACCAGGGTGCTCCAGCCCCCAGACTCTGAGCTGCAAGCTGAGGGTTGGCAGCTTTACCTGCTGCTGCGTCCCCTTGGCAGGTGCCCTCCTCTCCTTTTTTTGGGTGGAAAAAGGGCTGTTGAGATATTTTGGCAGGAGTTGATGAGCTGCCCAAGAGCTTCCCCACGACCATTCAGCCTGCTTCCCTGCTCAGGTACCGCTTCTCTTCGCCAACAGGCGGCCACAAGCTCCCTGCTCCTCCTGGGAAAAGGTACTTTACTTTGGAGTGGTGATCAAGGCAGCCGGCAAGGAAAACCTCACAGCTTCACTACAAAAGCCAGAAAGTTCTTTCAAATGACGGCAACATTAACCAGCACTGCCTGGTCAGGCCAATTTCTGCCTGCGTCCTTATTTAAGCCCACACGTCACAGGCTTTCCAGCAGAAAAACCTAAGGCAATGGAGTTCTTTGGGTTTGTGACACATCACGCTATGCTGTGAGGTGCCATCCTCATGACAGTTTCTATTACAGCTCAACACTGAGCTGCTCCTCGGAAGCTCTCTCCTCATTAGGTGCCTCTGCAGTTTTGAAGGTTTTCAACAGCTCGGGGTGCTGCTGTTAAGGAGAAAAGATACGGGGGGAAGAGGGGAGTAATGAAAATCTTCTCTACTCAACAACTCGCTCGCTCTGACTGGCAGTGGAAAGAAAAGCCACCCAGCCCATTGTCTCAGCTTCATATAGATATAACATATTTATTGAAAATCTGCTTCACCAACAACGGTGAAATCATGACCAAAAATTACAAAACATCGTGGTAGTTGGCTTTATAAAAATAAACTGCAGGAGAACGTCTCACCAATCTGTCCTGGTCTCTCTTGCCCCTTTCCCCTTCTTTAATGGTGCACGTTATACTCTTCAGCGTAACGCCGCTCTAGAAAATGGCATTCCATCCAAAAAAATGCACTCGTTTTTCCTTAGCAGAGGTCCTTAAAGTGACTTTTCCCCCGCCCTCCCCACCAATAAATATAGAAAATAGCCTCTAAACAAATAAATTTTAGTTTGGTCAGCTTAAAAAAAAAAAAAAAAGGTCCATTTTCCCCCTCTTGGGATATGTAGCGACTAAGCAGCCACTTAAACAGTATTCAAGTCTTTGGTGGCTTCGGCTGCTTAAAGCTGCAGTTTTATGTACAATCAACTGAGGTCCTTTATGGTTTTTTTTTTCCTTCTCCAGAAACCAAAGGCTATGAGATGATGTCAGGTGTGAACCACTGGTACGAGCAATGCCGCATTCACTGTACCTTCGCCGGGAGCCGTCGGTCGCCCAGGAAAGCAAGCAGTAAAAGGAGGTGATCTTTGGCAAGCGAGAGCTTTCAAACAGAAGGCGTCTTTGGTGGATGAACCTGCTGCATCAGCTGCGGTCGTTTCACTCGTGGTTTCCGTCTCTTTGGCCTGCTCTTCGCTTTGTTGATCTGCACCACAAAGAACGCCAGGACTACCATGGCACCAAGAAAAGCAAAGACCGGAATGGTCTGTCCTACATCCTGGTTGTACCGGCCAGGCATTATACCTGGAAAGACAAAGAGGTTTGGAGCAACTCATGACCACGTGAGCTACGATGTCTTTGCAGTGTTAAGGCTAACTACCAAAATAATACAACGGTATCTCTTGTTCAAAGATGAAACAGCTATTAATCAGATGATGTTTCAGACAGGAAGATGAACAACTGATTAACAAAGACAGGATGTTACGTGATAGAAAAGCGCCAGCATTTCCACCTGGACCTATTTCACAGAATCCCAGAGCGTTAGGGATTGGAAGGGACCTCCAAAGCTCATCCAGTCCAATCCCCCTGCCGGAGCAGGAACACCCAGATGAGGTTGCACAGGAAGGCGTCCAGGCGGGTTTTGAATGTCTGCAGAGAAGGAGACTCCACAACCTCTCTGGGCAGCCTGGGCCAGGGCTCTGTCACCCTCACTGAGAAGAAGTTTCTTCTCCAATTGAAGTGGAACCTCCTGTGTTCCAGTTTGTGCCCATTACCCCTTGTCCTATCATTGTTTGTCACCGAGAAGAGCCTGGCTCCATCCTCGTGACACTCACCCTTTAAATATTTATAAACATGAATGAGGTCTCCCCTCAGTCTCCTCTTCTGCAAACTAAAGAGCCCCAGCTCCCTCAGCCGCTCCTCAGAAGGGAGATGCTCCACTCCTTTCCAAACCCTTCCTTTTTACAGGCATCTTTTGGTCTAGCAGCTCAGACGGGGAAAACAGCACGTGTGAGGCTTTCAAACGACTTCCAGCTGGGGCTGCAGTGCCAGGCTTGTACAGGAGAGCAGCCCACCATGAGACCAAAAGCGGTTTCAAGTGCTCTACATCATTTGCTAGTGTAACATCTTGCCCAAACAGACCAACTCTGCTTTTGTGCACTCACACAAGGAATTTTAATTAGCAGGAGCTATCCAGTCACAGCTCCCAGGGACAGGGACTGCTGCTGACACCCCTCGGTCTGAACAGCACCAAAACAAACCTCAGCTACCCAAACAACACCTGCCAAAATCTTCCTCCCGGCCTGTCACACATGCTTTCTTCTGAATGAACTATTCATATGCAAAAAGATTTATCTCTGCCTTTATCAGCCAGCCTTTTACAACACAGCCATGCTATTATTTGCATGTTTTTCACAACTGAAAACAAACACGTGGCCTCTCTTCTGGCTGCATGATGTTTGGATTTTTTGCGTTTGGGTTTTTTTGGTGTTTTTTGGTTTGGTTTTTTCCCAAACCTTATACAAAAAGGAAAGCAAAACAGCAACTTTCAAACTTTTCAATATTTACCTCCAGGAATGTCCCACGCTCCACTTTCTCCAGGGGACAACGGTCTCACCTGGGGTCGGTTCTGTCGAAAACTGGGCAGAGCCACCTTATCGAGGTCAATTGACAGTAACTTTTGGTGTTTCCAAAGGTTGCTAGAAGAAATGTAAAGACAGAGGCGTCTCCCCACTTACTTCAGTAACGCAAAGAGTTTTGTAAAAACATATAAAGTGACAGCCATAAACCACAAATAACTCACTAGTTTGGACCCAAATGATAATGCAATGCACTCTCTAGGTTCTACAGTTTGCAGGCCTCCAGAGTTAAATTCAGGCACCACAGGGACACACTTAGATTGGCAACTATTTACTAGCAACTCTCTTCTGCACACAGCCTACCGAAAGTTACCGTTAGCAGCTCAGCAGACAAGGGCGGGCTATAGGCTGACACATTTTCCTCCAAGTGACTGATAAATGACACACCAGAAGGCTGAGTCAGGCAAACTGTTCAAGAAGCTGCTACAGAAAACGATTTCAAAGGCGTGCAGTGACGACGGATTTAAGCAAGAGCTTCCACTCCAAGCTGGGATCACTCAATCACAACAGTGAACTGACTTGTGAAGCTATTTTTAAAACCCCCCAGTTTCATAGCGTAGCTAAAAGGTGAGTCAGAACCATTCACTGAAGAAGCATTAATCATTATTTCCTCTTCGCAGTCTGGAAAGGCATTCCAGCTGTCCTTTTCAAAAGCAGATGGAACAAGTAATTTTTTCAGCTGAACTCAAAAAGCGAGACTTCTTGTATAACTGTAAGAAAGAAGTATACTGACCTGGGGGCAGTTTCATTCAAAGGCTGTGGTTTGGCCCAGGAGAGATGAGGACAAGCAGGAAGGGACCGGGGTTTAGGGTCTCCCAGATGAGCCTCGAGCACCTTTGAGTATCGATGTAAATGGTTACCTGCAACTCACAGCAGAGACAGATGGGGTTACCAGGAGTCTGGTAGGGTAAGAGCTATCAGCATTTGCTTCCAGCTAAACAGAGTTGGTGTAAAACCAGGAACTTGTTACAGGAATGACGACTCGTGGCTTAATCCTGTTAGAATTAACCAAAGGGTACCTTACAAAACAGTAAGGCTGCGCACCTATGACGGCAGATTATCCAAGTTTTGCTGGCAGCACAGGAGACAAGACCAAACCCTTTACACACACTCCATTGCCAGTAACTAGAGCGCTCCCTAGCAGAAACAGGTATCTGAAAATTCCTACTCTAGAAACATAACATTTTCTTTAGTCGAATCACAACGGTATCATGACAAATCCCTACAGTAAGGGCTCTCTTCTAGTAAGACAACTGGACACTATAAAGCTCACGCCAAACTAACCCTACCGGCACGCAACTGAAGAGGCCTGCCTGGATATTCCCAAATTTCACCCCAACACTCGGTCAGTTGTGACCTCTGCTTGGTAATTAAGGCCCTCACCTTCCATCCGCTCGGGGAGAGAGTAGCCAGCTCCTGACGGTGGTCGCTGTCTGTTTTCAGAATGGCTGAGGCTTGGTGGTGTCACCCCATAAGAAGTGTACTGCAGGAGAGAATCCAGGAGCCAAAAGCAATCTGTGGATTTCACAGCCCCAGAACAAAATCAGCATTATAGCACACTTCAAACGGCTCATCTTTCTCTGCTAAGGTGGCTATAATAACATTTAGAAGTACAATCAGTTTTTCTGGCTCTTGTTATTCTCCTTTTGAAGTTCTGGGCCCAGTTCGAGAAAGATGCAACTTGCAACCCCTCCTCCCCAATACACATACACAAAAATAATCTGTTCAATCTTAAAATATCTTCTTGTGTATCAAATCAGGATTGTTTTTGGTGAGCAAGATAGAAAACAACAGGTCTCAAGTATGGGAATTCCAAGTTGGGCAAGGCCATCCAAGTCCCTGCAAAACCTAAAAGGTTTTTTACTGCGGAAACACAGAAATTATATCAGAAGCTCTGAGCTTCCCAAGAGGGAAAGAAAGAAGCAGCCGGTTTTTGAAAGGATAAAATACTTTGTAAAGAAAAGTAAGGACAAGGTGGTGTTCTCAGTGGACAGTTATGACTCACGTTTGCTTTACCAAGCTCAAAAAACAAACAAACAAAGGAAGGGGAAAGGTTCTGGCTACATCCCAGCTGAAGGACAAGCAGTACCTGCAGCAGCCGTGGTACAGACCAGGCTGGGGATCAATGCCGCAATATACTCGATTATGGTTTTACTTTGCACTTCAACAGCACGTGAACCCTTGATTTGATCCTCTCCTGAATTACTACTGCCTCAGCCCAGAGCTAACCCTAAGGAACAAGAAGTCCAGATAGCTAACACCACAATGCTCTAAAACTTCCACCTGCAGCAGTGGGACAATGCCTGACCAGCTATTTCCACCACACAACAAATGACTTTTCTCAGAACTTCTCCCCCCAGGAACAGTTGGCTGGGAATGGGAATTAATCTTCATAATCCTGGTGTCCCTTAAACCCCCACCTTTGATTTTTTAAAGAGGTCAATCAGATTTTAAGGATTTATATTCACAAATGTTAGGAATTTACCTCAGCTAAAGCCACCAACGTCTCTGCAGGAGACACAGCTCCCGGTTCACAACTTAAACAGCTAATTTTAAAGGCTTTTCAGAGCCTTCCACTTTTTCTTGTTTCGCAGGTCACACTGAATTTTACAGCATTAGGGAGGTCACAAAGCATTGTTTTCTATTACTTCAAAGCTGCGCATATCTCTTATGCTACGTGCTTGCAATAACCTCCAGCAAGCACATAAGGCAGCAATATGTTGGTGTTACGGCAACTCACTGCAAGCCACCCAAAGGCAGGTAAGGAGAAACCAGAGAACTTCCAAAGAAAAAGAAAATGGGTAGTCCAGTTCTGGGCCCCTCAGTTCAAGAAGGACAGGGAACTGCTGGAGAGAGTCCAGCGTAGGGTTACAAAGATGATCAAGGGAGTGGAGCATCTCCCTTCCGAGGAGCGGCTGAGGGAGCTGGGGCTCTTTAGTTTGCAGAAGAGGAGACTGAGGGGAGACCTCATTCATGGTTATAAATATTTAAAGGGTGAGTGTCACGAGGATGGAGCCAGGCTCTTCTCGGTGACAAACAATGATAGGACAAGGGGTAATGGACACAAACTGGAACACAGGAGGTTCCACTTCAATTGGAGAAGAAACTTCTTCTCAGTGAGGGTGACAGAGCCCTGGCCCAGGCTGCCCAGAGAGGTTGTGGAGTCTCCTTCTCTGCAGACATTCAAAACCCGCCTGGACGCCTTCCTGTGTAACCTCATCTGGGTGTTCCTGCTCCGGCAGGGGGATTGGACTGGATGAGCTTTGGAGGTCCCTTCCAATCCCTAACGCTCTGGGATTCTGTGAGAGCAAGGAACGAGCTACAGATGGAGAAGCTCCCTTAGGCAGTAAATTCCTTTAAACTTAAATAAATTAGCCAAGGGATGGATTACACAACCCAGAATTTTAAAATGTCAGTGGCAAACGCTAAAAAAAATTATAAATGTGCTTTTCATCACAAAGGGAAAACTCAGGTTGTACGTCAGGTTCAGTGGAAGTGCAGGTGGTCTCACATTGATTATTGGGTCATCTTTGGTCTCTCAAGCCACAGATCTACCAGTCGGTGCTTTACGTATCATGAGAAACCCAATCAAGCTCTTAACAATTTTAAAAGTCAGATCAGACAAAGCGCCCATAAAAGGTTTTATAAGGACCCACCACAGCGTGCAGGCAAAGAGAATGGCTTCTCTGGGAGTCACAGAAACCGCACACACACACCTCACACACTCGCTGCCTAGAGTTGCAAACAAACGCTTCGAAAACCCAAACAGAAATTCCTACTTTCTGAGGTATTTGCACAGGCTGGTTTGTGTCAAAGCAGAGTAACGTGAGAACAGTGGTGCGCAACAGAAATGTTGAACAGTACCGTAAATCCTCACAGGAAACATTGCAAAGGGAACAAGGCATGCTGAGGAGCAAACTCAAAAGCTAAAATCCATTGCACTACATAAACACTCTGAAAATGCAACTGAGGAGAAAGTAAAGGGATCCCCCAATGGCCCCTTCGTAACTTCAAATCAAGCATGTGTAACTGTGAGTGCTTTCTGGAAACAAGAGCATCCCAAAGAAGCACAAAATCCCACCAAACTAAACGCCCTCGCAGAAACACGCACCCCTCAACCAGCCCCAAAAGCTTGTGGGATGGAAAAACGGGCAAGGGGCCTGATGGGGAGAAGGGAACTCTCCTGTCTATCAGAGGGCTCTTTAATGTGGAGCGCTCTTTAGTTGTACGGGCACCTGACAGCGTTTTCAGTAGAGCTCTGCAGAACTGAGACTAATCCCCAGATGGGAATATTCAGGAATTCCCTAGAAAACAGCTACTTCTGGTGGGAGCTGTAAAATCCCCGCTGGACGGTTGTCACCTTAAGACAATAACATTTCCTGCATGCCAAAGCTTACACACCTTTCTGTCGATGGCTGTCATCCAAGCAGTTCGAGTCGCCGTACAAAACGATCCTGCCACTGCCTTCAGAAGGAACTTGGTAAAGTCCCAAAATAGGGACATTTTCAATTACAGCTGTCTCCTGTTTTAAAACTTCAAGACCTAAAGCAAAGCACAAATAAATTTCATAGCCTGCGAAGCACCGCCTGTCAGTCAACACAGTCTACACTGCAAACGTACACGTGCGGTTGCGCCAGTCTTCATGTGGCACATTTATGCAAAGCATAAAGCAAAAGCATTTGCAAAGCATTATTATGCAAAGCATTTGCAAAAATCCCATGATGTTACGATATATATAAAATTGCTCAAAGACCCCGACTGTGAAGTTTCCTGCTG